TAATTCACTTAAGGTTCCCTTCTGAACTATTAGCAGTTTCTTGTCTTTTTTCTTATTTTCTTCATGTGCTCTGCTTTCTGCCTTTCTTGTATTCAGTTTACTAAGTTGGCATGAAAGGTTGCAACCAAACTATAAAGCCCAGGACCTGCTAGCGGGCTATAAATGTACCCCCTAATGGCTAAACCATTATAGCATTTGGTACAGGGTGAATGTGTTGCTGCGGGAAAACTGAGGTGGTGGAAGGCAGGGACGTGAGGAAGGGGGTGCAGGAGGGAGATAAAAGCTCCCATTCCATTAGCTGATTGACTTGGAACCCAGTCCCCTTTGCTGGCACTTGTTTTGCCTCACATTAAAATAGGCCTGAGATGTAAACAACTTTGTTATAGAGCTCAAGAAAACCTTACAGGAACGCAGTGTCACTCCAACAAGCCTCCCTCCTCACCCGGCAGCAGGAGACACAGATAGTGCGCTGGTAGAAGTGGTTGCCTTAGTACATTTCTCAGTATCGCTGATGTTTTTTTATTAGCCACTCCATGTTCTGCGTGAGCCAGAGTGAAGGCCTAATGGAGCATAGCGTGCTGAAGTGGCTGGCCGGCTGTCTCAGACAACACATCACACATTAGGATCCAACATTTACCCAAGTGCGATGTCAGATTTAATAAATGATATATATACTTGTTATGGCTCTGTTGCGAAGGGGTGGTGAGAGAAAAGGGAGGAGGATGACAGGCTTCACAAACCATAAGTGTTCTTTCGTATTGGAACAAAGTCAAGAGCCAAGACGTCGCTGCATAGAAAATGGGAAAAGGGAATGAGTGCTTGATGATACATGTTTTATTCAGAACAACAATGCATTTTCTGGGTGATTTGGGGGGGGGAAAGAACATGTTTTTTTTTTTTACTAAGATAAATTATATAGCATTTTTAGTAACTTTGGTATCTGTTGTGAAACCCATCTGTTTGCAGCGAGGTGCGATTTAGACCCAACTAGATGGATGATTAGTAATGTGTAATAAGTGACACCATATAATGCAAATATTATGTACACACATAATGGGGAAACATATATTTTTTTTACATTATTGCAGAAAAGTTAAAAGCGTATCCTCATTTTGCCCCCATGTGTTTCCTGTTAAAGGTTTCAGCTGTCAGAGCTCTTATCCACTTTGCTCATGTTACCTGGAGTTTGACAAGTCATCGCTTGCCACAAGGTTTTTTTTTTTTATGATGGCAGCTTTGCTGTTATCTACCTTTCAAAGACATGCCAACATTTGAGAGATAACTAACCCTGCATAATCCCTGTCAATGGCTCTCACTGCACCGTCTCACCGCCGAGTGCCTCAGGGCTGCATTCAGACGCTGTTATTTGGTCTAATCACTGCCATCGCACACTGTATATATTATGAGTTGTGTTTTTGCCTTTAGATTCTTCACCACTAAAGAATATTTGCAAGATCTTGGCTGAGAGGAGCTGTCATTATGTTGCCCTTTAGTGAGAGCTTTATTCTGAAGTTGAACGCTGCATTTATCCGAGAAATGTTACCCGAAAGTAGCACTGCTGTTTGCAGTCCAGAATAATAATAATAATTATTATTATTATCAGTTTTTCAGTTTCTGTTCTTTATTTTCTTCCTCGTGATGGGAAAATCTCTGGATGGCATTAATCTGGCCTCCAGTTCGAATGTTAAAATTATTTTTTTTGATCAGGACATGTCTTTTATCCCCCACATTAAAAACGTTACTAGAATTTATTCCACCTGCGTAATATCATTAAAATTAGAAACATCTTATCATCATATGGGGAGTAGTGGCGCAGAGGTTAGAGAAGAAGTGTCTGTGATCGGAAAGTCACAGATTCAACTCCCGGACTGACAACATTAAAATGTGGGTGGAAAAGTTGAAACACCCACACCTGCCTCCACTCTCATTTGCCCCACTATGGGCCCTTGAGCAAGGCCCTTAACCCCCATTGACTGCTACCAAAAAACAGGTCTATCTTGAAAATGAGTCCTTGTGACTAAATGAGACTACCTGTATAAATAAAGGGTAAATGAAAAAAAAAAAAATCTAAAAATTATGCAGAAAAACTGGTTCATGCATTTGTCATGTCTAGACTGGACTATTGCAATGGTTTATTATCTGGGTGTTCAAATACTTCTTTAAAAAGTCTTCAGTTGAGCCAAAATGTTGCTGCCAGAGTCTTAACTGGAGTTAGTAGGAGAGATCATATCTCTCCAGTTTTAGCTTCTCTTCACTGGCTCCCTGTCAAATCCAGAATTGAATTCAAAATCTTAATTCTAATTTGTCTAATCTCAACAACCTAGCTCCATCTTATATTTGAGATCTTATTGTTCCATATTTTCCTAACAGAGCACTCTGGTCTCAGACTACAGGCTTACTTGTGGTTCCTAGAGCTTCCAAAAGCAGAATGGGAGGAAGATCTTTCAGTTATCAGGCTCCTCTCTTGTGGAACCAACTTCCAGTTTCTGTCAGTAAGGCACATTGTCCAGTTTGAAGACTGGGCTTAAGACGTTCCTTTTTGATAAATCATATAGTTAGTTGGCTTTGTCTCCTGACCTATTCGTTATCCTATGCTAGACTACTGGAGAGGGAAAAAAAATGACCTCATTTCATCAAATGAATAATTGTTTGTATTTGTAATCATTTTTTTCTTAACATGTGATTTCTGTCTTTTTGTCTTTCCTCCTAGAGAAAACTCAATGGCCTCCATTCTGGACCTGTCGCGTGTTCATTTTTTCCTTCCTGTTTTCTCAAACTGAACCAGTCGAAGCAGATGGCCACTTGTCCTGAATGTGGTTCTGCTAAAGTTTTCATCATCATGAGGGAGTTTTTCCTTTTCACTGTTGCCTCTGTGCTTGCTTAGGATGAGAGTTCAGTGGTGAAATGAAAACTCAAAGCAGTCTTGGCTCCTTAGATAAATAACATTATTAACTGATTTTATATGTATGTGAATGTTCCTGTACAGTGCTGTGAGATTAGTTCTATTGTGATTTGGTGCAATATAAATAAATTGAATTGAACTGAATTGAAATAATAAAAAGAAAGAAGGTATATGATGTGTCAAAAGATTCATTTAATCAGAGCAAGAATTGCATTTCAAGAAAAATGTGAAAATGTAGTGCATTCATAAATTATTTACCTTTTCAATATATTTCAGAAGTGTGGTGCTGTTTTTATAGAAAAAAAAAAAAAACACATTCGTTCATATTTTTTTTTTCTGTTTTTTTACCTGATTTTCTGTAACGAAGTTGGAGTTGACCCAGCCTTATATATGACACAACTCCTCTCTTCATGTTATCATGCCAGGAACTAATGTCTCAAGATTTAAAAAATATTGTGAATTTGTTAGATATTTCTTGTTGTAGTTTATAGAATCAAACTATTAAATAAGACTGTTCAACATTTTTGTAAGCTATCTTGTCATATCTGTATTTTCTGGAGGGTTGGGGAGGTTTCTAGGGATGCATCATTTCATACAAGTCAATGAACCCCCTCTGTTAGTTTAGTGGACGTGTCATAAAGGTGAATATTTGCAGCCTGTTCTTGCCCATGCATCACTCTGGAGGCATATCAGTCACTGTTCAATGACTTTGACTCATGACTTTTTATTCTAGATTATCAGATTTGTCATGACCCTGAAATATTCCAAGACAGAGAAGCATTTATTTACCACCAACCAGTATGTAAATATGTTTTATTTTTCCCTCTTTCATTTGCTTGCATATCTGTGTGTTCTGCTTTCTAAGCAGGTGACACATTGTGAGCCATAAGGATACAATTGTTAAATATTCATGATTTCTCACAGGAATACCTAATTAAGTGATGCTCCACTGGGTTTTACTCAGTCATGTGCTCGGACGTAATGCAGGTAGGCACTGGCCCCTATGGGCTACCATCTGTAAAACAAAACTGCATAAAAAGGGGTTTGGTGCTCTGTGTGCGTGTGTGTGTGCGTGTGTGTGTGTGTGTGGGTGTGGGTGGGTGGGGGGGGGGGATTAGAGGAGTTCAACTCTTGTGTTATGCACGTCTGAATACAAATTGGTCCCTGCAAAATGCGCTGCAAATTCTGAGTGACTCAGGGGAGCAAGCTGCATGCAGGTCATGTGTGAACGCACCATAGCGCACAGGCGCGCGCGCATCAAAGCTCATCATGACGGGAGCATGCACAGAGCGTGCAGCAGACACTCCTCTACTTTGAAGACCTGCTCGGTCTCCCAGCTGCTGACAGCTGTTTGACTTGACTCCAGCTCCTGTCAGAGATGAACTCCAGACTTGTGCGCTGGCTGCGCGGTGCGTTTTGACCACGGATGACACAGGACCGGGGGGAGGGACAGGGCAGATGGAGGGGTGGGGAGGGGGGGATCGGCTCTGCTCAGTGCAGGACGCAGCAGACAGTCGCTCTCCAAGGTGCTGAAAGTCGGAGCGCTCCCTCCTCAGTCTGGCGACGAAGCTCCACTGCAGAATCCAGTAACGACCTGCTGCAGACGTGGCTGCTTTAACATTCCTCACACTCTCATTCCTGGATTTGTTTTTTCTTTATTTTGATTTTACTTGGATGTGCGCGTGCATATGTGCAACCAAACCTCCAGTCCGTTGCCTAACATTTACCTGCACCAGCTGGAGATACTAAACGGACTCTGGATTCTCCGGGAAGGCTACAGATGATTTCTGAGCCTCGTTGTCCCCTCTGTCTGCACCGCGTGCTGCTGAGCAGCAACACTGTCTCAGAAAGGTAAGTCGGATGGGGATAATCACAGAGAAGACCTACTTTTTTCGTGGATGCCGTTTTCCCTGCGCTGGACAGAAGGCTGCTCATTTATTGCTGTTCAACCCATAATCCAGGACGCAAAGGGAGGGGGATTACAGTATCCTTTGGAGCCTGGTGAGATTACCGTGTGGATTGAGTGAAGTTTCTAACAGCCAAGGCGACTATCGGAGATCTGTTCCAGCCCTCTCTGCAGGCTTTTTTTTTTTTGGCTTTACACTGAGAGGATATCACGCAGTGTCACCGCGGTGAGTTTGCCTTATCATTGAATTTCCATCTCCTAAAATGACGCCTTTAAATCTCCGAACAAAAAGAATGATTTTCATCTTAACGTCTTGCGCATTCATCGATGTTTCCGAGCAGCTGCACATGACAGAGCTGATTTATTGTTGCAGACAATCACAGTGCACCCAAAACCTTTTGATCCCTTAAAAAAAAAAAAAAAATGACACAGACCAAAGCTACCTGTTGTCTTTGGTCCGCCTCATAAAGTTTTCCAATGCAGCGTCTGTGGGGTCGGCCTTCACTGAATGAACATTAACTGCATCCCCTTCACTAGTTCTTTATTTTGCATGTTGCATTCCCACCGTGCATATTATATTATACGCATGTTACATAAACCTGTTGAGGAGGCAAAGCTGCAGAATCACTATGAACTTGCATTTGGGAGGAGGAAATGTCCATTTTAAGGTTAGATGCGACATCTGCAGTGGAATTATCCTCCATGGTATCATCTCTTCTGTTTCCCCCCACACTGCAGACCCATACATGATGATGACGATGATGGTGGGGCTGATGATAAAGAGCTGGACGGATCAGGAGAGGATACCCGGAGCTTAGAAAATGCCATCCAAGCACTTGTGTTGAATGTGGATGTTGTGATGCCGTGGGGAAGGATGCGCCCTCACCTCTCGGCTGCCTCCATCCTCCTCCTGGCCCTGATGGGCGTCGCGTCTGCGGCCACGGTGGGGATCCCGGAGGATTACACGGCGGACGAGGCTGAGCGCACCGCCGCCGACAACATGGTCTTCGATGATTACCGGGGCAAAGGCTGCGTGGACGACAGCGGCTTCGTGTACAAGCTGGGGGAGCGCTTCTACCCGGGCCACTCGAACTGCCCGTGCGTGTGCACGGAGGACGGGCCTGTGTGCGACCAGCCCGAGTGCCCGAAACTGCACCCCAAGTGCACCAAAGTGGAGCACAATGGATGCTGCCCCGAGTGCAAAGAGGTGAAAAACTTTTGCGAGTACCGAGGGAAAACGTACAAAATACTGGAAGAATTCAAGGTAAGAAGATTTACATCATGATAAACTCACTGGTATCATCCAAGCGTTTGATGAGCTGATATTATTATTTTTTTTTTTTTATGGGCTGTATTGTCAGTTTTGTTAATGTGTGTAGAAAATTGGCCTGAAGTTATATATCCCTCCAGAGATCTGAACTAAAATCTTCTCATGATGAGAAATGACAGCTGATTTGGTCAAACCCTGTAAATGACCTTATGCTCACTCTCATGACGTGTTAGCACAGAAATGTATTCCAGTGTCTGTAAACTGATGGAGGTGGAGCCATTTTTGTGAAGGCTAACGTCAATTAGCCATGGCAGACATTTAATTGGCTCTAAATAAGTTGCACACTGACAGGAAGATCCATTAAAGTTTGTCCAGTCATTCATGAGATATTTTGCTAACATAATTGAATGTCCCAGTTATGAACAAAGTTTTAGACAATGTTGCCCAGAGTGTAGTCCTTGGAGTGTGTGTTGGACATGACTTTCAGTTTCTATTACACTAACTTAGTGCAATATCGCTAAAACTGATTTAGAGTAAACTTTTCAAGATGTATCAGCTGTGGCGACCATCTTGGATTTCACTCCAAAGTTGAATCAGTTCTAGATGTGCCTATAGCTCCTGATAATAATAATAATAATAATAATAATAATAATAATAATAATGCATTTTATTTGTTAGTGCCTTTCAAGACACCCAAGGACACTTCGCAACATTAAAAACACAAAATAAAACAATGCAAAATGGCTTTAAAGACACTAAACCAAGAAGAAAATAACAAGAAATTAAAGTGAGAAGGCTAACATGAACAGATGAGTTTTGAGTTGTGATTTGAAGGTCTGAAGGGAGTCAATATTACGGATGTCTGGGGGAAGAGCTTTCCAGAGTTGGGGAACAGAGTGAGAAAATGCTCTGTGTCCCGTGGTGCTGAGACAGACAAGAGGCACGTTGAGGTGGATGGAAGAGGAAGAACGAAGGGAGCGTGAATGGGTGATAATGTGCAGGAGATCGGACAGATGGGGCGCGGTTATGGATGGCCTTGAATGTGTACAACAAGATTTTAAATTGAATTCTGAACGTGACTGGAAGCCAGTGAAGTTGCTGTAAAACTGGGGTGATGTGGTGAAATGAGGGGGTTTTGGTAACGATGCGGGCAGCTGAATTTTGAACCATTTGAAGCTTGCGGAGTAATTTTTGCAGTAATGGACTTGGCTCTAATACTTAATGGCAAAGTTTTAAAGGAAGCTCTTGCCTGATCTGTTAGCCCTTTGAGTATGTGGATCAGTCTGAGCTACTATCAAACCAAATTCAATATCTGTAAAGTTTGCTGAATCTTAGCCACTTTGTATTAGTTGTGGCAACCTTCTTAAATGTGACTGACTTCAGAACGTAATCACTTGTAGACGCACATCCAATAATTGGGGACTACCCATAGTAAGGCAGCCACCTATTATTATCCACCTGACTTTGAATTTCTTAACTTTATGTCTTACCCTTCTGTCAATTTTAACACATCCCAAACCATAATGTGTACCCCCACAAATGTTATATCAAAATGACTGACTCGGCTCCGTGATGTGTGCTGTTACTTCTATTGGCGTTTCAGGTTACCATGGTGACATAATTTGCAAACAAAGACACCAGTTTTCTCATTGAAAATAACATAGCTCCTAACAGCTTCTAACTGCCACAGTGAGGTCACATGAGGTCTCTGAACAAAACTCAGAAAGCGAACCCCAACACATAGTACTGGCAAATCAAAAATTGAAATGTGGCAGTGCCCATCAAATTTAAACCAGGAGCTTAGTTAGTTTCATTCAAATCTATTTTTTTTCAAATGTATTGTTTTTTATACAACTAGTGCTTAGTGTATTTTTAATGTTTTCCTTAGTTTATATCTTGGATCTTATGACTGTTTTTCTTTTACATTTTATACTTTGTTGGATGTAACTGGGACCCTGTGTACACAATTTCATTCCACGACATGTACCACGTGTGGTGCGTATGACAACTAAAGAACCTTGAATCCTTGAATCTATCCCCTGGTTTATGACATATTTTGAGCCAACAAAATATATGAACTACGTCATCACATATTTCCTGTCACAGTCATGTTGTTCAAGCTACAAAACACAAAAGAACAGTTTCATTCTGGTGTGCTTTAATGAGTTTTATTGTTGCCAACAGTCCACTGTGATTACATGTATGGCTTAATAGAAAAAAGTCACACAAAAGAAGCAGAGTGACTTATAGGGGTTGGTTACTGCTTCAAATTAGCCCTTTGATGCTGTAAAAATATTTGTGACTGTGCTTGATGACTGCTTGATGACGGCCAAGGGCTCCAAGATGGCTGCCTCCCAGGTTGATGTCATCCCTCCCCTCCCTGCTTCATCAGCTGAACATTTAGCCAGCATTAGACAACTGGCAGATGCTAAGAGTATTTTAATCTGCTGATTTGTGGACACTGAGCGATCACTCTTGCAGAATAGTTTCCAGCCATCAGACCAGTGTCAGCAGTTGTTATGGAGCGTGGCAGCACTGTCTGATTATAAATGACACTATAAGGGCATGACAACCACAGTCTGTGTGTAAACTGTTGCTGCCCATGAGGAGACCTCCTAATTCAGATTTGCCACAAGCAGACAAAGGCTGCAAGTGATTTCAACAGGGACTGACAGATTGTGGCCGAAAACAAGGAGCTCTATGCTTATTCATGGTTGTATTCATATGTGCAGATACATCAGTGGGGAGGTTTGCATTCAGCACAAGCTGCTCTGACAAATACAACAAACACACAATGGATGCAAATTTTAAACACCACTCTGAATTTGGATCATTAGAGACTTTATCTTTTATTTACAAGAATTAAATATTGATGTTTAAATGTGATAGAACTGAAATCCTCTTGTTCTAGATTTAACGCTGCATGTTTCTGTATTTAATGAAAATATACGATACAGGAGGAAATAAGTTCTAAAGCACCAAACTACAGTTTTTGCGTGTTTTTTTTTAAAGATTATTTCAGATGCCCAACCCAACAGGATCTCAGGCAGCAACTTATTGTAATAAAATGTAAATTTTCTTTACTTTTCTATTGAGTGCCAGCACAGATGGATGCTGTTCAATCACCAATGTACAGATGGCTTAAAACTGCACATGACCATTCTGATAATGTGTGTTAGGTGTTCAAAGAGCAGTTTTCTAACCTATGAATTAAACTCAAAATCAAAGTTAGTGCTCATAGGTGGCCTGCATCATTGAGGAAATCCCATATGTGCACAAAGTGTGCTACATATTCTATAATATGTGATAATCCAATGTTATCTAGTTCAGTTACACTTTGCTTTTAGTGTTTATCTTAATATAATGGCACAATGACTGCAACTAAACATTTCAACTCATCAGTCCTGAACATCAACTGAAAGTGACTTTGCTCCATTCCTTCATATGAATCATAATATTACATGATATATCTTATTATATAACATTATCTTGCACAAACTGTCCAGATCATTCCATTGTTTTCTGGCAAAGACAAGATTTTACCATAACATTAAAACACATTGCCTGCTTTTATGATCTTGCTATTATTTGATTAAATAAAACTTTCTTGGGATTTCCAGAAGATGAAAAGATGACATTTTCTTTTCTGCAGAATTTTTTGATCATAATTAAAACTCAGACAAAACGGACACAAATCATTTAATTTCTTATTTTGCAAAGTTGCATTTACTCAAATTGCATTGTCGAAAAAGGGCAGGTGTTCATTTCAGAGAGCAGTAGCTTTAATAGTATGCCCAAATACAATAATGTTTGAGTTTTTTTAAACAATATATATAATAACTTTAGGATGGAATAACAGCGGACAAGAACATTAGGTAAATGTAAAAAAGAGGCACGTGATCATGTAACTTTGGTCTTCTGTTTCTCATATTTGCAAACTGTTTGTATAACAAGAAATCAAGTCAAAACCATCTAGAAAATATTTGATCTTTCATTTTCCACAGACAGGATTTGAAAATGACTCATTGCCAAAAAAATTGTACCATAAAGAAGATTTTCTTGATAGTGCATTAGCGAATATACAATGGGATTTACAATTTTAATATTTAATATTTAAGAACAAATAGCGAGACTCTCTGTTCACACACACACACACACACATACATATAGGGGAGTGGTGGCGCAGAGGTTAGAGAAGGTGGGCCTGTGATCAAAAGATCGCCAGTTCAAGCCCCGGTACCGACAACATTTTAAAAAAATGTGGGTGGGGTAGGTGAAGCACACACATCTGCCTCCACTCTCATTCGCCCCACTCTGGACCCATGAACAAGGCCCTTAACCCCCATCTGCTCTCAAACAAGTCTCTCTTGAAAATGAGTTATCGTGACTCAATGAGACAACATGTACAAATAAAGGGTATATATATATATATATATATATATATATATATATACATACTGTGTTGTCACAGTGGTTCATGAATTTATTACATTTTGAAGGCAAAACGTAGGGAGAGCACTTACAAAATGAGATGGGCATTCCCCCAAAAAATGTATATATAAATTCTGTTTCTGTACATTTTCTACCAATATGCATAACAAGTGTAGGTGGAGAAATTGAATAAAGCTTTATTCAAGACAACTGAGCCTGTCCTAATATTTTAAATCAAAATGTCTGCCATGAAACAGGTCTCCTGTTCACAAATCAAAAAGCAGCACCCGCTATCACTTATGCAAGCAGCTTATTTCCATTCCTTCACCTACACACTCATCAGCTTTAGATAAGCATCTTATTATACCGGTGATTTCAAGGATTAATTATGTCACAAGCAAACGAGGAGGTGACAGAGTTTTTGAGTTATGACATTGAAAATCTTTACAGTCCAATTCTGACTGAGCGAGCATTCATAACAGCATGAATGAGAGACCGACATACATAGGTTTATAGGCAGGTGTGAATAATTTTGTTAAACAAACTAAAAACAGCAGTCTAAT